AATGGTTCTGTGCTACAGCTGGATTTGCTAGATGCTGTGAACATTTTAAGGTTAACCTCAGTAATTAGTTTTGCCAGTCAAGGTTAGAACTGTTACTGATCATGTAGGGAACTTGCAACCCACCCCAAATTACTTGACTGATCGATGCGACTCGACATCGTAGCATCGACTAACACAATATAGGGGACTTTATTATAGGAAAGTCTGAGGGCAGACCATGGCATGAACATTAAGCTGAGAGGGTAGAGAAGCGGCCCAGGAGGTGTAAGGGTAGCGCGCTCGCTCGGAAGCGCGAGGTGAGGGTTCGAGTCCCAGATGGGCTGGCAACTGAGCATTCTTGTGGTAACAATATGTAAGCCCTCAATCGCCATGGAAAGCAACAACAGGAATTTTAACATTCGAAACGTTGCTACTCTTGAGAGCCGATGGACAAAAGTAGAAGGGCTTTGGAACAAGAAACAGATTCGGAAGTACAATATGTCTTCATAGTTCATAGACTCGCATCACACCGTGTTACGACTTCACATAACATGCCTTGGTCAATTTTCATCGAACAGGCTTCGGTATGTGCGTACTACTTCTGCCCTCTTACTGGTACAGCGTTCAGGTCTCTTCCATGCCACAAAGTCAAATATCGGTGGAAAATGCTCGCACAAACTCTGTCAGTAGGGCTTATCCAACGCCCTCATCACAAACACCGCACTTGCCTGGGATAGATTACATAGACTCTTATTAAAGCAGGATGAATGTATGGTCAGCTTCATTCAACTCACCACTCAGAGTATCCCACTGCGCGCAAATGAGTGAAGGAATCCGAAACTGCGCACTACGTCGACTATCAAAGAACAGGGACAGCTGTATAGTTTGGTTCGCTGCGGACGAAAGGGCGTGTTAGGAGGGAAGAGTTTGGCGCAGTGCCAAACCCGTTCTCCACCAGTTGTTGAAGCGAGCAAGTGAATGACTGCCAAGTGTTGTCGCATGTCGCTCAAACAACTAACAGAGAACGGGGTTTGGCACCGTGGCACACTCACACGGCCTGAAACGCCTCTTCATCCGCAGCGACTATATTTGTCAAAGTTTCGACGATCAGGGTAGCCGTGCACGCCATGCGTTTTGATGACGACCGCTTTATTAGATCGATACCGTCTGGATTCGATGGCATATTAAACGAAAGCCTGGACGACAGCCAATCTGATGGCGAGACTTCATTGTGAAAGCTCTGAAGTAATGGTATGATGTTCATCGCGCCCCTGGAGCAGAGAGAACCACTGAGTAACTCTAGCACTTCGCAAGGGCAAATGCAGGCACCCGCCCGATTGACTCAATGACCAACGGGAGCATCCACGTGGTAATCGACCACAAATGACAACCATTTCAGACGCCAACGTGTCGCTAAGGCTTATCGAACGCTCTTATCACAAATATGACAAAAATTTTAGGAATCGACGCCAACTGGGCGCCCACTTTTTTGCCGAACTCATAATCTATTTGCGTACAGGGTTATTCAGTGCCTCAATTACGAATAGCGTGCGCTTTATTATTTGTGACCATATTAAAGACATCATATACGGTCTTAAAAAAGGCGCTGGGTTGTTAGCCTGTTTTGACGGTGTGGGCGCCAAGTGATGCCAAAAATGAGGAGCTTATTCGGTTCGCTGATCTTTGGGATGCGTATATTGTTAAGCTAGCATACTGTAACTAAACTGTAGGATGCTGGAGTATGCGGTGGAGGACAGGGTGTATCACCCCAATAATGTCCCTTAGTTCAGTTCAAAGCAGTGAATAGCCCTCGCAAACATTAAAATACAACAGGGATCCCTGGAGTTGAAGTTGTTTGAGGCTGCGTCCATATTTATGAAACTGGATAATGGGAGAGTTGACAAATCTTGGGCTAAGGAGATCGCAGAAACCGCGAAAATCAAAGTATGCGTACAAAGTGGAGAATGGGAGAAACGTGGTAGCGTGTAAAAAGAAATGAAATCAAGGAAGAAATAAACAGCCATGTTATTGATAAAGTTGAATACCCCCTCCTTATCATCGTTTAGAATTCTTATCAATAATACTGCACCGTCGACAATAATAATCAGATTCTCCCACATCCGCGTATTCCTCCGATTCTCATGATCGATATATGGCTAATCTTTTTTCGCGCTTTCTCCAATTCGCCGATTCTCCTATTCTTAAAGGCACATTCCGCGATAAAATAAGGCTATGACCTCTCATATGTGTCGGACGATCCGAAAGGCGATTTTTGAGGCTGCGCTACTTTCAAAATGTGGAAAACGACAAGAACTCCGCTAGACAGCGCTAATTAGGCCCATGGACACCCCTTAGGCCCCGACCCTCACCGGCTGCTAGCTACTAGCTAGTAGCCACTATGTTATCTTTCTCTATAACATTTCGGACTGCTTTTTCTGCTGCTTTTCTCCGCTAATCAGATACTTAGCACTTTTTTGTGCCTATTTGAGTTCCGTTTCCCGCAATTTGCGGTCGGCGACACTGTACCTTAATGTATGAATGGGCAGCTCAACCACTGAACACAGTCAAGTGAAACATACAACTCTGTTGAGCAACTCCTTTTCAAACCAAAAAGTAATATTGGTAACATGCCCAACATTTTTGGACATCTTGCATACACGCGATTACCCAAAAGGGTGAAATCAATCTAGCATATATGCATTGTAATTTAGGCAAATAATTATCAAACCGTAGTTTAAATATGCATAGGACCAATGCACATAGCGTTCAACTTGTAGGCTGCGTTCATACCTTCCTTACGACATCGTCAGCGACGTCGACGTAACCGATGTAATCGGCTACAAAAGATCGTATGCGTATCGATCCGACGTAACCGGCCAACCGGCGACAGAATACTAGATACGTATCGATCTGACGTAGTCGCCACACACGACGTAACTGACATCCTCGACGTACCCGACGTTTTAGACGTCAGTCGATACGTATCTAATGTTCTGTCGCCGGTTACGTCGGCTACGTCGATTACGTCGGTTACGAATGATCGATACGTATCTAGCCTTTTGTCGCCCATTACGTCGGTTACGTCGACGTCGTCAGCTATGAACGCAACCTTAGGCATCGTTCAGACTTGGGGCTGATGCGCTGCGCAGAAATGTAGAATTGACGAAAAGCGGTAGATAGGTATTGATTCAAAGAAATGCATAAACGATTAATTGCGAAAAATCGATACGTAGCTTTTTTCGTTTTTGGTCGAGATACGGTCAGCCCTCTACTTGAAGGAAGAGTTCAGACTTCGCGATGACGCGCGTCTACGCGCTCCCACTGCAACGACGCTTCAGTGCTACAGAAGAAGGCGCGGCCACAGTCGGGTATCGATTGGCGGCTGTCGCTAGTGTTTTGGCAGAGTATAGAAGAAAAGGAGGGTGCCCTACTGCGTGAAGGCAGCGCTCATCATCCTTTTATCTTATATCTCTCCCAAAACAAAAGCTGCCGGTGCCTCGATACCCGTCTGCGGCTGCGTCCCTTTGCTTTGGAGCGCCATTACAGAGGTAGCGCGTAGGCGCGCGTCACCGCGAAGTCTGAACGCTGCCTTCAGGCAGAAGACTGACCGTATCTCGAAAATTCCGAGGTACACCACTAAGAGAACGTTTGAACTCACGTGTACAATCCAGTTCGAAAGCCTGCCTTTCTCAATATAGATTCCACGAATGCACATGTTGAACCCTTTCCTTTTGTACCACTTACATGAACAATATTGAGTCGATCAAGATCGTTCAGCTGAAACATCGGAAATAGCTCCGAAACGTCATCTCAACAACAACACTCACCAACTTGACCTCACTTCAATTCCGCATTTATTCAGGAAAGATATTGTATTCGGGATGTTTGTTTCCTGAAGGATATCTCGTTTCTCTCGAACTTTTTGAAGAGTTATCGCATTTGATTGGAGCGAGTTCAAATGTAGTACAGCAACCTGGAATGTGAATGATAGTGCCTGCATTTACAGAAAATATGAGAGGAGAGAGAACTTGACAGAAGTGAATTCAATCCAAACCTCGTAGGGTTTTGAGGCAATTCTTTAACGAGCGTATGGCTGAAGGCAACTGGTATCATGGCTGTAGAGCGATTTGTAGTCAATAGGG